GCCGGCCGCCCCTCGGGTCTATCACATAGCATTGACACTATGAGCTCTCTCAAGCCCTCACTGCAGGTGACAGGCCCATGCCGGCCTTTCATGATCTTCAATGCCAGTCCTTGCAGACTGTCAGCTTCAAAGGCGTATCGGCCATGCAACACTTCGTACAGCACACAGCCGAGCCCCCAAATGTCGGCCTCGAAGCCATAGGGCTTCCCCCTGTACATCTCAGGGGACATGTATACCGGCGTCCCTATCATGGTAGAGGCCAAGGCCACTTTAGAGTGCATCGGGTTCGCCGGATGATCCTCCAGCATCTACACAAAAGCTCTGCTATTGTAACCACAACTACCAACCTACCTTGCTCACACCGAAGTCCCCGAGCTTGAGAACCAGGCTACCCTCTCCCACACTAGCTGGACGTAGGAGGAAAACATTCCCGGTCTTCATATCGCGGTGAAGTACCTATGGCTGCTGATGGTGATAGAGGCAGCACTCATCTACCCGGCGCGAATGCAAAGCTTGCAGTGCGAGGCACATCTGAATGAGCCAATCAATGGCTAAGTCCTCTAACCTTCTGGGAGGCGTTCCACCCTCCCATAAGCACTTTATGTGAGCTCCTAGGTCTCCCGAAGAGCAATACCTGAGCGTAAATGATATACACCATACCTTGTGAAACCTACTCCATCACGATGCAGATGACCTCATCTGGTGTGACGAAGGACTCTTTATGCCTGAGCGGCAGGGCGGCAGCGGCGGCAGGGATTAGCAGTACTTACCAGACGATATTAGGATGACCCTTGAGGGTCTCTAGAAGATGGACCTCTTGTTTCACCTGCTCTCGCTGCCTATGGCTAAGCTCCCGTAGGGGTACTCGCTTGAGACAGTAGGCCCTTCTGTGACGAGATGACCCAACCACAAACACCTGTCACGGATCTTGCTATGGGTGCCGTGGAGAGGGACAGCACCTGGCCATAAGCCCCTTGGCCCAACACCTTCATTATAGTGTATGTGTCACAGTCTTTGCCATCGCCTCTGATGACATCACCTTCCCGTAAGGGGCAGGAAAAGAAATTGGGTTCTCGCTGGCCACTGGGGTCGGGCGGAGGGCTCTCACGTGACCCTACTATATATTTGGCCGGGCTGTTGAACATTTGATTATGCCTTCTTTGCGTACACATGAATCGCATCATCGTTATGTACCATATTCCGACCTTATCCGTATCTTCACATTCTAACCCAAGATTCCCAACTACCAACACAACACGTCGAGTAAACGAAATGTTAGAGATTTTACGTTCTGACGTAGTGATGATGACGATGACGACGATGATTCTGATAACGATATTGGTATTGAGAGATATGGCTACAGTAAAAGATAATGATGACATCGAGTTAACCTTCAGTAGCAGCGGCGCTACTCTGACTAGCGAACGCTGGGCTATGCTTGAGATAATGTAAGTGCGGTGTCCAGAAGGATGCAGTAGCAGCTACTGTGGTTGCCCCTGCATGAGAAGGGGCAGGTAGAAGACCAGGAGAAGTGAAGGCCAACGATCGCAACGTCGATGGTGCCGGGGTGGGGGTAGCCGAGTCAACAGCCCCGGCAGCAGCAGTAGTAGTAGCTGACGAAGCTGAACTCGCGCTAGCAAGAGTAGTTCCAGCCGGTGTCGTCTGATAAGGCAAAAATGTTGGGGTCATAGGGAACCCGAAAGATGTCTGCATGCCCTTGGGGTAGAGGCCTGAAGACCCAACAGCACTTTCCTCCAGTTGGATGTCTCCATCCATGATCGACCCGTCAGCAACATTAGAACCGAGAGGGGGTGCCCCTCTAGAAGAGGCAAGCTGTGTAGCAGGGAATGCGGGGCTCTGCAAATACTTGGGTAAAGCTGATGAGAACATTCGGCTTGACAGTGGAGGCGAGCCAGGGTTGAACAAAGGCGATAAGGGTACATACGACGTTGTTGTTGTTGATGATGATGAAGTTGTTGCTGTTACAGGCGTGGTGGTCCTTGCCCGCTTAGGCTCCGTTGTGACCCCTTCAGTGAGCTCCGAAGGGTCAGTGGGTATCTCAATACTAGTAGTGCCCACACCACCGCCGAAGATAACACTATGAGCCAATCCAGTGTTGGGCAGCATACTATCCGCCTTAGCAGTAGTGGCAACCTCCTCAGGACCCTCCGACCGATCTCGCTTCCTCGTCTTGAGCAACAGCGGGCTGCCAGTAGTCTTGGCACTACCAACGGACCTTGACCAGGCTGTAGACGGGTAAGGCGGCATCATGAGAGGCATCATATTTCCAGGAACTCGACCAACAGCAGGCGCCGTGCCATACACAGCTTGAGCCAGAGACGGTACAATCCCCGGCCTTTTGTAACGCTGCGAGACCAACGGAGTCTGGACAGGCGGCCGATGATCAGGAGAAACCGGGTTGGTGGAGTTGTGAGTGCTGCCTCGCTCCGCTCGCAGTTTCGCAACTACTTCCCTTATCATCGTATGGCATTCCTCTGCAATGAACGACTCCCTCGCTTGATCAGACTCGAAGATCTTATGCTCTTCCTCGATCGACCTCTCAATCTTACTCCTGGCCGAATCTACTGAGTCCTCCATAATCCGCCGGTCCGACACAGCGTCGGCCAAGTTCCGTCGCACAGGCCCGTAGATACGCTTCTTATTAACGTAAATGGTAGCATTATATCCTCCATTGTTACGCCACACCCCCTTGGGCGCTGCATAGGGCTTCTTCCTCCGCTTGATCCCAGCTACCGCCTCAGCTGCAGCAGCTGCCGATCCACTCCGCTCGGTATCTCCTCTCATCGTCATCATCTCGCCACCCTGGCCATAACCCCTCGGGCCGGGATAGCCCTGAGAGTACCACGGATTGCTCATCGCCGCCGCGTAGCTCCATTGGTTGTATTGTAGCTGTTGGAACTGCTGCCAAGCCTGTGTACCATATCCTGGCATGCTGTCCACTCCCCCTCTTCTAACAGATGGTCCTTGGTCCGGGCTCACATCCAAAGTGAGATCACCGTACTTCAACTCGACGGCGTCATCATCGTCATCTAGAGTGCAACAGTCGTCCGCGAGTGCCACCAACGGCAGAGTGCCAACATCGGACCCAGTTATATGATCACTGCTGCCGGGGGACTTCTCCATCCTAGGAGTGGTGACCCCAAGATCGAGGGCCTGGTTCACGCCGTCATTGTTGTCCGAGTTTCCAGGCGAGCGGGCACCAGCTGAGATCAGAGCTGCAGTGAGCTGGCCAGACATACCACCTGTTGGCGGACGGGACTGGGCTGTTGAAGACTGAGTACCAGCGAGTGGCGAACTCGATGGTGGAACTGATTCTAGTGGAGTGCTTGCAGACCTCCGCTTTGTTTGGGCATGAGCAATGAGTGCTTGCTGCTGCTGTAACAACATGTACTGTTGCATCTGGATCTGTTGGTTCATATTCTGGAGCTGTGCCGCCGCCATAGCAGCTCCCATCATCGACATAAACACGGGAGTCTCGGCGGCGTCACCTTTTTTTAAGTTCACCGCGTCCTTGCCAGGACCAATGGCCTCCAACAGCTCGGGCGGAGATTTTTCCTGCTGGCCGTAGCTACCATCATCATCCATCATACCAGCTGGCTGTGCTGTGTTCGTTACCGGGTAGAGCTGCGAGGCCGACTCCGGCCGAGAAGAGATCGTTGTAAGATGAGGGCCCAAGTCGGACGAGTGGGACGAGGAGGAGGAGGAGGGCGAGCATGTAGACTCAGCACGGCCCATACCCCGTGGTTCCGGGCCAAATGCCGGAATTTCTGGTAAATTCTCTGACATAAGCCAGGGAAAGTCGAACAACTGGTCGAAGAGTAGTTCACTACAACGCACACCACGGAGCACGCAAGTTCAGTCAAACCGAGGTCACTCCGATATCTTGCATTCTTGCATTTCCTCAACGCTGCCAAAAATGCGCGTTGAGAAGGGAGCTACTTACCGGGCTCCACTGCTGCCGAGGACCGCAGTGTTGACCACACCAGTTGTGTTCACGTATTTGAGACGAAGAGGGTCGACAATCTGGACTGCTGTTGAAGGAGTTTCTCCGGTTATCCGCCCCGAAATATCGCGAAGAGAGCCTAAAGAATATCGTTACGCTGCTCCCCATGAGCTGCTGGATGACATCCACCCAAGGGCAAAAATGGAAGAGTGATTTCAGGGCGAGCGCTAGCTAACTTCAGTCGGTTATCATTTCGTACTTTATTTCCACGATAATTCAGATCGATTCCAGCACCGCATTATACGTGTAAGAAGCGATTCTGAGTTCCCATATCGGTTTAGTGGACGACCTCTATAAGGAGTGAGCAGCCTCTCGCTGCGAATTTGAGATTCTCGTTCTCGCTGAGCTCGTGTGGCCCATCCATGCCGTTAGAATTGCTGTTCACCTCGGGTTTGCAGCTGTTGACTCCTCTCAATGTCACGAAGCCCTCCTCCGCCTCCCATCCATATTGAGGCCACGACATGGACAAGAGACTCTCATGAACTGTTCGATTATGAAAGCCGCAGTATTGCGAAAACCAACTTCGAGGTTGTCGGCAATGCACGGCTGATCAGACGGAATGGTAGGAGGAACAACTGGCAGAGTTGAGATTGTTACGGTACCTTAGGTGAGGTTTCTATGGAGTCGGACTGTGGAGAATTAGTGGAGCCTGCTGAGCATACGGACTACCTCCTGAAATGTGTCAATTTCGACACCAAGTAGTAGCCCGGGAGCGTCACAGTTTTCCTAATCGACGCCATATTCACATTTTTACTGAGTTCCTTCCTCTTCGGTTCCGTTCTCCGAGTTGAGATGACTGACATCATCCTTTCCTTGCTTGAGCTCGGTCGTTGCGATCAGATACCTCATACAACCAGCAGAGAAGCAACCTGAAGGGTCTCGATGGTCGGCAAAGAAGCTGTGGTTGGTTATCAAAGATGTACGCACGTCCGCCCTCACGTACCCTTTTCGGACCTCTTTTGTATCTTTCAAGTGTCGACCTAAGATTCCTCGGCCATGTGCTCTATTCTTCAGCTCGGACCCTATAGCATAAGTGAAGGTGACGTTGTGAAACTCGGTCGTTTCAAACTGCGAGTTCGTCAACTATGTGGGTATGAATCAGAAGAGCTAGTAGGTCCACCTGGCGACCTCTCCCTGTTGTTACCTCTGGTCAGGTGAGGCCCGACTTGATGGGTCCAGAATCTCAAACTTCTATGGCTACGTGCGCTCCCCCTGAGGCCGACGGAAAGCCTTGCAGGATTTGCCTGCTAGAGGTATAACTTCTAGTTACCAACACACTTATAGTCCTGTTTTAGGCCAGCGGTTCTGATGAAGATCCATTGGTGGAAGCCTGTGCTTGCCGGGGCTCGATTCGGTATGTTCACTTAGGGTGCCTACGACACTGGGTAGAGGGTCGCCTTAGTCTCCACTCCGGTAGTTCCTTCTCCCCATATTTCTGGCGTGATGTTGTTACATCAGGTTCTGAGCAGCAAGGGTCGACACACACGTAACTGCATTGCTAATCAGCTCGATATGTATATGCCTGTGCTCCTCCTAGATACCTATTCCGACAACTAGCGTGCGAACTATGCCGAACTAATTATCCACTGTACGTGAGACTACATGATGGCCATGTGGAGCAGCTGGTAGGCTGCATTTCTCGAGGACGATGAGCGACCCCTTTCTTTCCCCCTAGGTCCCAATGCCGGAGACTCGAGCGCCATACATGGTATTGGAGAATATGATGAGAGTAGACCCAATCGGTGGTGGCCAAACTGAAGGTCATTGCTCCCTCTTGCCCTTGTGTGATTAAGCATTGTAGTTCTTGTAGGTGCTGACAATCAGTCGTCTGTCCATGCTAGAGGAGTCTATGTCATATCCCTCGCTGGGAAGAAGATGCTCCGTCTCGGACGAGGCCATGAGAGTGACGTGCGAATCGCGGATGTGAGGGGCAATCTGAATAGCCACCTGCAATGGTCATCGGTCAGGTATCAATATCCCGTTGGCACGCAACTGTATCATTCACGGAAGATGGTCGGTTCGTACTAGAGGATCACAACTCGAAGTTTGGCACCCTCGTTGCTCTGCGAAGGCCACGGGTTATCGAAGCCGCTCCTCCACGTGAGTTTTCTTCTGAATTCGCTGCTCGGCGATGGTATGGATCTGTATCGTTGCCCATGTTTTTGAATATTCATCCGAGGGTCGATCCCGCATTAATAGGGCCGTGTTTTGATCAGCAGTAAATCTATTGCTATAGCCGATTTATTGTTTAATCGTTTTAGCCGAGCCAGTAGGGGAGGAAGAGGTTCCGAAAGCCCCAGTCCTCACAGTACAAGCGGGCAGAACTGTCTTTAGGATTAGCCGCGATGTACCACCACCGCTGTTGCCACCTGCAAGGTAGTATTGGGTGACGCAGTCTGGGAAAATATGCATATGCTTTACTACGTGTCGGTGACAACACGGAATGGTCGAGGAAATTATATGGAAATATGCGAATATGGAAAATACGAGAAAATTTGGGGAAAATTCTTGCGGTTTCTGAATACTTTTACTCTAGTTCGTGTATAAACTTCTATAATTAGTGAGGGAACTCCCAAGTGCAGCTGAGGAAGCGATCCTATATTCCAACACTGGGAGTGAGCACTTACTATATTCGTGCCCCCGTGGCCTCGCTTTATTATTATATCCTGAGAGGGTGGCTTCAGGCCGGATCCTCTTGTGGTCCCGGAAGGAGCGTCCATTGCGGATCAGAATGTAGCGGTAGCGATGATAGCGGCACAACTGGGGAATGATTATCGAGCGGCAGCAATGGCCTTGCAACGGCAGCAGCAACAACAACTAATGAGAGAACGAGGGGGTCTGCGGTCCGATGATGAGGAAGACGAGGAGCAGTGGGGGAATGACGAGCAACCGGAGCAATAGTCCTGAACACCTTTTTGTTGTTAAGTTTATGCTGAAGTCTAGCAGGCTGTCACCAATGGCACTGTTACTGGTGGCATGCTTTAACATTAGTAGTTTCGATTGGTTATGTGCGGTAGCTGAGTATCATTTATACCGTCTTGTTGTCCGACTTCGAGAGTAGACTCCTAAGTGGTGTCTTAACTAGTGCTCCCCCAAATCTAGGGTCATCCATCACACGGGTGTGGAACGGTAGAATGGACATCTTCCCGGTATCATCATGTAGTTTTTGATATTTTGTTTGCAATGAGTGAGGATCAGTGGTGACTGTTAGCCGTAATATCAGGAGTATCACCATTATCAGTTGTCGTGATGGTACTTGGGAATATGCACGGAATCTTCTATACCATTGATAGTTGTTATTTCGCTGCGGCGTTGCGAAGTCATTGTTCCGCCCTTGTTGGAGTTGCTCTATTATATCATCGGTGGTGTTGAGTTAGTTCAGTTAGGTCTGGGATCGATCAGATGACCAGCACTCGAATATGTATTGAAAGTCCCCCACTACCCCGATCAGTCTGGTCGGCTCTCAATTTTATAATCAAACATGGCCCCGCTGGTAAGATTTGGAAACCTTGCTGGGCGTGTTGAAAGTGCCGTGATTGGGTGGCTATAGCGTAGCTTCTGTATCGACCATCTCAGGCTGCTGTTCTTAAGCACATCTGTTGAGTGGCTAGTTGCGTTGCGAGGCTGTAGGGCGCATGTTTCTCAGTGGCCGTTCATTTCCAAATCAATAGTGCTTACTGCAGTGGCAGTGGTAATGGATCCTTCCGGAAGACTTGTAGGTGAAGGTGGCTATTGTCTCCTGAGCATGTGGTGAGTGCTCGTTAACGACAGTGCTAACTTCCCGCTGAGTCAGGGAAACATCATTGAAGTAAACGCGAATCACATGGACTGTAGCTAAATGATGTTAGGTTTAAAACAGTCCCGTTTGAGTCGTATATCTACAGCGCTTGAAAGGTGCAGCAAAAGAATAGATATCATGTTCATTGCAGCAAAATCGGCCGAAATATAACGGGCGGCGTCCTGGTCCGCGACAGATAGGCACACGAGAAGCTGAACTACAGTGCAATCCCCATCCTTGGGTTCAGAATAAGCTGTAAAATATTCAATTGCTGAGTGAGCGAACGAGCAGGTAGTACCTGCTCGTTCGTGACAGTACCTGCCAGGTACTGTCACTTCGCACATTTTTTCTGTGTTTATTCGGATTGTCTCTCCACGACTACACTAGCTGAACTTCCAAGACACATATCTTTCGGAGGAGCATAGTTCATGTATTCTGCAAAAAATATGGAGAACTGTCATCACCATCCTGTATCGTGCATTGGTTGAAACTGTTGCGTCACGCAACTCGCGTGCCGTGACTACTAGTAAGCGAAGAACGTTCGAGAAAAGCCCGCGCCGGGGATCGAACCCACAGCCGTTATGAGCTCCGAGCTGCATTTCTTCATCTCGGCGTACGCTATATGTAAAAGCAATATTATCGATGATTTTATTTTCTAATTGACTGATGGACTCAAGGCAGAGACGAGAAATAATTGGTGCTAAGTATGGAATCCTTGCAAAGATAGTCGAACACGATCATAGACAGTGATATTGATAGCCATGAACGTTCCATACCATAAAGACTTCGCACACACTCCTCTAAAAAAACCACGGACACCCTCATTCCGGAGCAGCGCTATGGCTATGTCGCGAATGCTCGAGGATCGACTCGACGTGAACTGGCTTGATGATGATGATGCAATCCCTCTCCCAGCCACTTGGTACTGTGTCTTGACCACATCGATTGGGGAAGTCGTGGTACCTGTAATGAGACATTAAGTGGAAACGGAAAGAAAGTCATCAACTCACAGGCAACAACTCCCGCGATGAATCCCGAGAGAGCGAGCCATGCAGCTGAGACGCTTCCATCCCTCGCGAGCTCATCACGGCCAAAATTGAGCGGCTTGAGTCGCTCGTAGGTCATGAACCATATAGCAGACAGTGGCGTCCACGTCAAGCTGCCAATCACCACGCTGAACGACAGAAATGAGAGAACATGAGCCAGGAAGGAAGAGACGTACCCGCGATAGAAGCCTCGAATGCCGTACTCACGATAGATGTCAATTACGATATGGCGAGGGCTAACTGCTGTCTTCACTTGTACTTGCCTGAGAAACGGTATCATACCCATTCACATACAACAGCTACTGAGCAGATGATCATCCAGGAACCAATAATGTTCCCGGGAGGAGCTCGTTTTGAATTTCCCACATGGCTAGGAACACATTATTCAATCAGTTTCCCAATGTGAATGTCATCACATTAGGAACATTTTCCCATTGTTATCAAACCATTGGGGACGTTATTTCTCAGAGCTGGATGTGTTCTTGCTACTGAGAGCTTACGTTTGTGATTTGATGACTTCCTGAGGTGTCCATATCACCATGCCGAATACATTGGCGATTGCGCCCGATGCTAGGTGTATGGCGTCAGAGGACCAACCCTACAACAGCCGCAGTTTTCAGACCAGCTGGGTGACTGCGATCGAACTCACTGTGGCTGGTCGCAACTTGGACTTGGAAAACTCGTATGCGGAGTAGTAAATCCCAAAGGCTGGGCAACTCGTGAGCATCACGACCGATAAGCCCTTATAGAAACCCCGAGCCCCCTAACATGAGATCAAAATCGGCACCTAGTGTCGAGGGAGTTATAACTCATAAACTCCCGGTATGAGCACAACCATCATTCTGTGGACTCAACTCTGTTTGACCTTTTACTCCCTTTTTCCGGTGTGGCATAATTTGCACATGGTCAACCACATGTGTTGGTATACACTTATCGTATATATTTTCCCAATTCGTATATAAACTCCTATGACTAGTGAGAAAATATTGAGCTCAGCTGACGGAAGCGAACATGTTTTGCAGCACTCAAGTATTCACCCTGAGACACCAGTATCGTATCTTACCTCGTGTTTGAGGATGGCCACAGCTTCGCTTATGAGTGAGTAACGTTGCGGCATTGACACTGCAGGTCTGTCCGGCCGAGCGAAACTCTCTGTTGCTATGGCGGACGACGCAGGCCAGTGTCTCGCCTGACAGCACACTTTGAATGAACGATGAACAGATATCTTTTCACCTGTTGCCGAACGCGTATGGTGTCCATTGGGAAAACAGTAGCATCGCATACCAGACCAGCAGTGGCTCCAGCGATAAAAGAGGACGCAGAAGTGAGTTTCGTAGTAGGTAGTGTCGAATCGTCTCCCATCTGGACCGCCATGGAGCCACCCAACAGAAGGAGCTAATTGGTGACACCATCACTGTGGTCGTGGTGACACGATTATACCATCCCGGAATCTAGTTGGTGAGTGCGGCCGCTAACGCCCGCGGAGGACTACAATCCCCATACGCGGGTAAGGACGTCAGTTCGGCCAGAGGCTCGAACAAGGACTTCGGTTCAGTGCTGGTGTGCCTCAGGAAAGGACTCTAGTCTCGCGAATAGGTGCCTCAATTTCGTGATATATGGTCACAACCTCCGAGTGACCATGCTGAACATCGCCCCTGTTTTCCGTGCATATGACGATTCCACGTGTTTTAGGAGGAAACATCACGAGTGGCATGCACATGATGCCCTGAGACAGTGTTGGAGGAATATATGTTCGCTTTTCTCAGCTGAACTTGGGAGTTTCCTCACTAATAATAAAAGGTTATACACGAATTAGGATAGAACTGTACAGAAACCAACGAGAATTTCCGCAAAATTTCCGTAGTGTCGCCGACCCATGTGTATATTTTCCCACACTCCTTTGAGATGTTCCCGTTCATGGTCGCAGTTATCTCACCGACTGTAAGTCGTAACGTGCTGATATTGTCAGTGGCCATATTAGCGCACTCGTTCTCCGTTATCATGAAATTGAAGTCCTCATCGGTAAAGTTCTGTGCTTATTATACGCTCCGTGTTTGTCAATATGGTGACACTACTTAAACCTAATAATGTCCCTGCTCACACAGCTACCCTAGCGCCTCTTTATGAATGGCTCAGATCAGTGAATGGGCTTTAAGGAATATGTCTCAGTTGATTCATGAACATAAAAGAAGTACGTTCCTCATCATACTATCATGAGACACTCACTTCAATGGAAATTCTAAAAACGTGCATCAAACCATGTCGACGACGACGTAGCGCTCCAGAAGACTGAAACAGATATGATACCAAGTCGGATCGTTGAGGAGAGATGAGGCACTCAAACTCAACACGCATGCACCGATGAGCATCAATTAGGGACTTCACATTATTTCTCAGTAGCATACGGCAAGGACAGCAGCCACAGAGTACCGAGACGTCCATCAATGCAGATAATAGCGACAGAATGCTTATACGAGACTTGAGGTGCCGAGTAAGCGACATCAAGACACTTCAATGCTACAACATGTTACACGTGTATAACGTATTCGCGGACTCCGGTCGAGTCGTTGTCGCAAACCTCTATCACCTTGGGCAACGTCATCTGCTTATCGTTCTCAAACCACACGTCCCATTCCTTCATTGAGAGCGGCACTATAGGGGCGGCAATCTTCGTAACGTCAATGCCGCCGGTTTTTCTAACACTGCTCTTGCTCATCCTCCTCGGAGTTGTGCTCTTCTTGGGCTTCACATGGTCTGGCCTACCTCCATGCCCCTGACACAATCCATGTCGCCTCGCCGTCTTATTGCAACCCTCTACCTGAACGCTACATTCCTATGGCGGGTTAATCTCCCTTTACTTACCGAGCACCTGCGACCGCCACCATGCCTTATGCAAAGCCCACCTGATCGAGCGTGCCGAGTACAGCTAGAAACGCTGCAGTAGATGATCGGCATTCACGAACCCTTCCCAAGAATAGTCCCCTGTGAGGAATTGGAATTTGACTAACCCAAACCGTTAGTTCACTGCGAGACTCCAACGTACGGTACTCTAGCTGCATGCTATGGCCGCCGACATTGTGAATGCCCCTCGAATAAGAATAGTCGAGTTTGATCCGATGATCCGTATAGGAGGCACAGTTGATGGTAGTGAGACGATGAGAAATTAGGGATGATGATGATGATGATGATGAAAATGATTTGAGTATCGCTTTATCATAGCAGCGATTCCACATAGAACAGCACTCTTCTCAGTAGATCTTCCTTCCTCTGATTCACTCGTCCACTCGGGTGAGGGAGCAGAGCCGTCATAGTCCATTATACTCCTGTCGACGAACTTGGGCTCACCAGTGATAGACTATTTAACTGTAAAGTTGAACGCTGTGCCCGAGATGGGTTCCGCGCTGATCCGTTCAAACAGCTCGCGGGTTAGATGACGGCACTGACCAGATTCTCTCAGTGCAACCCGAAAGGAATGGTTTGAGGACGACAGACGAACTTAGTGATCTCTCCGGACACCATAGGAGGCCACGTTTTATGCTACTCCGACAACTACAAATTACTGGCAAATGCTCAGAAAGGCTATCGTAATGAACCTCTGACGGTATCTATAAGCCGCACTTAGTTGAAGGAGTCGCATATTTCCCACAACCCCGAGGAAGGAGGCTAGACCGAACCACCAATTTGGAAGCCACAGGCCGTGACCCTGGGACCGAAGACGGTACCAATAAAGATCGAGGACCGACAGGGCCGCAAAACTGTGGTGAAGTCGATGAGCCTGTACTGCGAGATGACCATCGCGAGTCTTAGAGCTAAACGCTGACTCGCACATCATCTCCACCGTGGCGTGGGAGGGTAGGCTGAAAATATAGTTTAGTCGAGGCGACGTTGCTCACGAAGACGACTCAAGGAAACACAAGTGAGAGCGATCAGCCGTCACAGCAGCAACACACAGAATACAGATGCCGGCCGGTCCGTGACTCCATCATAACTGTACGCAAGAATTTTTCACAATGCGCTAAGAGAAACCGTCATTGTGTCACCCGCAACTAACCTTGTCTATTGCGTGAGCATCAGTTAGGTCTCAGCTTTGCGAATACCTCCTCGAGTGTGAAGGTCTGCTAATTTCGAATGCTGTAAGGAAAAGTAGGGATGCAACAACATGTCGAGAAAATCAAATATATCTTGCAAATCTCGTGTTTCCTCAATGATGGAAAAAAGGCGGTTACTGCGCGCGCCTCAAAATTCTCATCGCGCCACCCTTGCCTGGACCACAGGCGAGAATCTAAAGTTGCGAATTCCCCCAGAAGAGGAAGGGTAGGTGAAAGCGGAGAAAGGGAAACCCGAAACCCGACGGGAAAAGCAGAAACCCGAACTGTTATCCAAGGCCAAGCTGTAACCCAAGTGTCGCGAAGTAGAAATTAGTGGCGGAAAAAGAAAAAAGTAGCGCGTGTAGAGGCGATACAGAAACAACCGGCGAGTATTCGGCTCGGCCTCTCAGAAGGTGTCAAGTTGACACTGTCAACTACTGCATTGGGGTGATAGTCGACTGCGAAAGATCTCTATTGTCGGTTTGTGACAGTATGTGACCGCGCCCGGTTCCGTTGCTGCCAGTACCACTTCTGTCAATACCCTGGCCCCTCCCAAGATCGACTACAAGGTCAGTGCTGGTAGGTGTACAATTGACTTCATCATTGTGCTGTATATCCCATCGCAAGTTCGTCAATATCCGTTGACGTTCTGACCGTGATCTTCTTCCCTCTGGCCTAGTTACCGTGTCGTTGCAAAGACTGCCAACAGGTCGACCGAAATTGTGCCTTCTGTGATATCGGAATCGTAGTACTCATCACAATCTGATAAGACATCATGTGTGTATGGCTGTGGCCATTCATGCCAGCAGGCAGATCATAAGCCACCGATGGCGAGGGTCGACGAGAAAATGCTCATCACTTTGTAGTATCCTGCTCTTAGATCGATGCCCGATCAGCATGCTAATTGTTGTTGACTCCATTATGAATTGGGTTACTCCAGAGGATACTCCAGCGCGTTACTTCTCAGATCACCGTTAAGCATGGCAAATTCAGGTTCGTATGGTACGGCCGAGCCCCTGGCCCCCGTAGTCACCCCCGAACTCGGCCACTCACCTGACTTAGTGCCATGCAAGCGTTGTGGTCATGATGGCTTGACGATTGTGGAGCATCGAAGCTCTTGCGGTGGGCCCGATCCCGATCGGTCATCACGATTCCGAATGGTCAGGCACGTACATTTGTTGTTGCATCCTGCTTCTCATCTTCTTCCCGCTTTTCTGGTTACCATTTTTCTGTCAAAGCTGCCAGGAAGCTGACCACATCTGCGCAGCCTGTGGTGAATTAGTTGGCAAGAAAGTCTTCATCACTGAATGATAAATTATACTCATGTGTTCATTAACTTTACACTAATGATGTTTGTATGAACTCGCGGGCTGAGTTGTGTTGTCACTTCTTCGGAAGCAAGTTGGCTTTCCTTAGAGCGTTCGGTCACCCACCGGGCAAAAACAGAATGACGATATGCGGCGAGTAACACGTCAGGCACATTAACACAGAGGATGAGCCGCGAGACGATTGGCGGGCCCTCTGACACCCAATCAAGTAGCCCTACCAGAAAATTACGAACAGGAAAGAATGGGAGTGGCGGCTGATACTCATCAGTGTGTGACTAAGCCGAGTATTGTAGCATTGCAGTTGCAGTGTTTGCCTTCCGAAGCCACCAGCGACAGCGGGTCTAGCAGTGATGCACCTTCTCACAGAGGAATCAACTCAGCTGACTTTTTAAGCAGGCGTAATAGTGCCCGTCGTGTAACTACATGTTGGTAGCTTTATTCTGCTACCTTACAGCTTCGTGACTGAATAGTGAAAAACATCTTCCATATCAGCAAGATGCTTACCTTACTAGTGAGGCAATGGGTGGAACTACACCAATAATTTCCTCTGTGGCGAAGGCAAAGGTGCCTTACATCTTCACGAGCTAAGCCCATTGGGCTTGTGTCAACTCAGTTTCACTCAGAATGATTTCCGATTAGTGTTGTTCATGAAATCACTTGCATTTGGTCTTAGCTTCAGACGGTGCTAGACGAGATCGGCCGCAAGCCCAGAGCTTCGCACAAATCTTGCCCGCGAGTATATGCGCTCGTTGAAGGGGTTGGGAATACACTCGTTCACTAACTCCACACCAGAGATCAAAAACGATTCCGAAATGAACATGGTCTATAAAGAGATGCTGCCCTCTCTGAAATCACTGCTGGACAACATAGCATTAATAAGTACTGGGCCACGACACTGCAATGCGGCCTGAACACATCCATGCTCGCCAACTGAAGTGAGAGGCTTCCATCACGCTCACCGTACGGGCCATACTCAGAACATCTTCTATATCGGATTCCTTCTCGAGAAGAAAACCTACATTGCCACCGTAACCTTCGGCTGCTACGTGGTAGTCAACGTGGGCGCCTGAGGACGAGCCAGCGTCCTGCAGCTTGGGTACAGTAGCCCACCTAGCACTGTTGCGATAGGATCTTTCAACAGCCGCACTTGGTCTCGATACCTGCCCTCAGTGTTGCTTCATAGAAGGAAAGGAAACGCCCTCACATTTGATTCCATTTGCCATCATTCCCAACGATAGCTACGCAGGGTATCTTATGTCGTTTCATCGTCTCGAACTCGGCCAGAGACCAAGCCACGCTGCCGTCACCCCAGAGGATCCATACAGGCTCTACTGCAGACTCTCCTGAGCAGCAAACAGCTGCCAATGAGGCCAGTTAGCATCGACACGTACTACCTGCTAGTACACCAGCAGCTACTGCAAAGCCGCCACCAACTCCCAGGGTTCCGAAGACTCCCGGGTCGAGCCAGCCCAGAGCTCGAACCGGCTTGACGCAGTATCTGCGATGACTGAGTGAATAAAGAAGCGACCAGTGATGGGGCCCTTACGAGGCTGTCCCAACAAAGTCGCCGCCATCCGCCACAATAACTGCTTCCGTACCACACCTTTGCAAGAACGCGTCCACAGCCTTTAGTAACCTCACTGGATGTACACGGTCCCCTTGGCCCGAGGGCGAGTCGTCTAAAGTTAGGTGATAGGAGCCCATACACATCTGGACGAGGCCACTCGATGAGGCTATCTCCTTCTCTCGCGTCGCTTCACGCTGATGACAGGTCGCCGTCCATTTGGTCCAGAATGGCTTCCGACTCTGCCGTGTCACCATCAGGGCTACCTCGCGGAGGAACTGACTCGGGCAACCGTGAACATACCTGTGAGGAATCATTCGATGGCCAGACCAGGGGCCTCACAGCTTGGCAGCTCGCATGTCCCTATTCTTCCTCAAGAGGTCCCTGTTGCTGTTGCAGACGACGAGGGCGGCCCCTTTAGCAATGCTTCGCCCATAGTTGAGACGGAAGTCCAACGGAGCGCCTGAGGGGTAGTTGGAAGCAACGACTAGGACGGTATGGGATCCACCTGCTATGATGACTAAGTCGGCATCTTTCAGTGCTTTCCCTCGCATATGCAACATCTGCGGACTGTTGCCACTCCTGCCAAAGAGCCCTCGACACATCCCCGAGACCCACACTGGGACCTGACCACACTGAAGTGTCCAAGGCGTGGTATGAGCAGCATGAGCACCTCTAAGAAAATAAGAGCCTCGCGTAGTTGCTCGATATGAGATACGTCCTGGGCTGCTTGGGAGCCTACCAAAATGACCTGAAATAGTCTATACGAGACGCCTCAAATCTGACCTAACATACCGGTCGCTTAGCCACGTTCAACATCTTTACAGTTGCCTCCACTGCACCACGGCTCGGCACTGGCCTTGCCGCTTGGACCAGTTCATGAGAGCTTCGCGGTGGGAGAACAACCTCTGGCGAGCAGCCTTCAAAGTAGCTCCCGAATATCGAGTCGATGTAGTTGTTGAGATACCACCGTTGCAGCGATGCAGTGAGGCCTCGGGCCTGGGAAAGGTACCCACCAGAGCTTAACACTGAGGGGAGCTAACGCTGGAAATGCGATGGTGGCAGCAGCACTACTATTCTCAGTCATGGACCTCGGCCACAGTACGTCTAGTGGGAACTCTAGGAACACCGGCCCGGGGGCAGGACTGTAACTGAATCGGAGTCGACACTTGGCCCCTTAGGGTCGTGCCCCTGAGCACCTCCCAGCAACCGCAGATGCACGTAATACAGCTGGTATTATTTCCTTCACACTTTTCACCGTCGTTTGGCTCTTCACAGCTGATTTGACCTACCAGGAAGACCACCCGAGTCATCTCGAGAGGACCCTCACCAGTGCTCCCTGGTCGATATCCTGAAGGCTCCCTCTACCTTTCAGGATCATAGACGTGGCCCCGGCCAAGACCATCTAGCATCATGAAAAGGCTGTCAAAAGAATCGTTGTAGTGAGTCATGGGCTACTATTGGGACTTCGGCCATCCTAGCGTTCACGATAGCAGTGACAGCGTTCGTGAGACCAGGCCCAGCAGTCACCGCACAGACGCCCTAGGAGACAGGGAGGGGCCAACTGGGAGGAGGAGCACCCACCTACGATGTTGCCTGTCAGCCTTGCATAGGCGTCCGCCGCGAAAACAGC